GATAGATTAGGCATAGTGTTTTAAGCAACATCTGAATATCATCTTTGAAGTAAACACATTAGACACTCTTGATTGCATTCTTGAATTGGGTTGATATATAAGAGCATTGTTTTATACTACCATTTGATCTCTTGAATGAAGTGGTGCCCCCCTGCCCCCTATATTCTGTGTACCTACCTTTGAGCATGTTGTGTCTTTTTAAAAAACAAAAAATGAACAAAAACAATTTTTAAAACTGTAAATCTTTATTACCATCAAACTTGGAAAATGGAAAGTATTTTATTGTCACAATTGACTTTAGATTGTTACCTGTATTTTATTCAGATTTGAGACACATAAGTGACCCCATATGTAATGGAAAGAAATACAGACTATTGTCTTACCCCTAAAAAAAAAAAAAATAAAAAAAAATAAAAAGGGACATCATGTGGAAAGGTGGAGAATCAAGGAAAGAGAGAAAGACCCTCAATGGGATGTACTGCATACCAAGCGTATAGTATATTAATAATTAATAATGAGACAAAACACCAAGAAGTATAAGTAAATAGCATAAAAGCAGGGGCCAGCAGTTCTAATGACTGAAGTGCTCCAAGCCACGCCTCTCTGCCTCTCTGTGCATTTACTGAGAATCAAGGGAAGCAAATCATAAAGAGAATTCTCTTGTAAATGAAGACAATTTTTTTCTCTATTGTCAACCTAATGCTTAGCTCAGGAAGGAAGTATTTCACACATATTAATTCTCCCTCTGCCTCTTGTTTTCAGGAAGCAGCTAATTTCCTGTGACCTGTCCCAAGAGAAATTACAACTTATTTTTTGTGATACCTTCAAATCCTGTTTAAGTATACGGTTTATCATATAATATTTGGTATGAAATTTGGCTTCCCATAGAGATGGATAGAAACAGTAACTTCAACAACGAACTCAAGTGTGTCAGAGATGACGAGGATGGCACAGGATAAGACAGGATTCAGGTTGGTTCTTTATACAGTTGCTATGAGTTGTGCTCAAATCAATGGCACCTAACAACAGCAACAACAACAGTAAAAACAACAACATGGTGGTTGGAGACTTACAGACGAAGCAAATCTGATGGGGCAAAGGTTAAAAGTATGAGTAGGGATCAGGCACTGAGCACCCTTGAAGGAGATGGGTATCTAGACAAGGTAAGGGACAGAGCACAGTTCATTTGTGTAAGCATGCTCTCCTGTCCAGTGCCTTCCAACATGGGTGGAAAAATACCAGGCCTTATAGCTTCACTCCACCACTGCCTTTGAGTAGAGTTGAGTCTGCCTGTCCATTGGGTTTCTGAGGCTGTTCTTTATGAGAAGAGAAAGTCCATCCTTATCTCTCAGAGCAACCATTGGATTTAGATTGTTGACCTTTTGGTTAGCAGCCCAGCAGGAAGGACTCTCTACCAGGACTCTGGCTAACTTCACTCAAACACAAAACTCAAAGCTGACCCTCCAGTGAGTTTTCAGAGGTTACAGATATCACTGGGGGAGATTGCCCATCTTTCTCCTGAGGAGCAGTCGGTGAATTTGAACTGCCTGTTTTCGGATTTGTAGTATAACTTCTTACCTACTAGGCCACCAGAGCTCCCCTTCACTAGACTCATAAATAGAAATTCCCTTATACCCACCTTCTCGATTTAAAGCAATTTGACATGTAATGTGTCATTCTCAGCTCTTCTGGCCTATTTTTGATCCATAATTTCCCCCTGGCTAACAATAAACTTTTCTGGTGTGAACGAGAGGTGGTGAGGTGGTGAAGCATCAGGGAGTTGAACAAAGATGTGGGAGGTGTCCCAGTAACACTGCATGGGCCTATGCTAGCTTCTTCAATTCTCACACCTTAACTTCATGAAATGTGAAATTAGGCATTAGAGCATGTCTGTGTCCTGTATGTTCCTAACATTCCAAGTTATGACATTACTGTTTCTCTGTTCAATAGGGAAAAAAACAGCCTCCACGTTTAGCCTGGAACAGGAGAGGCTGTACTGTACCGCATTTTAAATGAGCTACTGTGATCCTGGGTGTCTTGTGGGTTGGGATTAGAACATGCAGCTCTCAAGTTGTCTGTGGGATGCTTTGATAACCTGCCTCTTGCTGAAACTTGTGGGGATTTGTGCACTTTGTACACTCCTCTGTCCACTATTTCATAAGCCACACTACCTGAGTCTGAATCCCAGTTTTGTGACTATGGGCACTTTAGAGAAATGCTGAGTGCCTCAGTTTCCTGATCTATGAAATGGGAACAACAACTCCACCTGGCTTAAAGGGTCTTGAGGCTCACCATAGTTAATATATGTTGTTTTTTTCAGCGACCATGCTCTGTCTCCATGACCACTGATGTTTTCCTGTTCCTTGTCACAGCCCCTATAGATCTTGAATTCCTCCCCCAAGGACCTCATTAGGCAATGTTCTCTTGTGACCCATAGGATTTTTATTGGCTACTTTTGGGAGCTCTAGTGGTGCGGCTGGTGGCCTAGTTGGTAGAGTGTTGCGCTGCCAACACAATGGCAGATAATTCAAATCCAGCAGCTGCTCCATGAGAGGAAGTTGGGCAATTTCCTTCTTTGTGATTTACAGCCTCTGGAAACCTGCTGGAAGGTCAGCTATGAGTCAGTATCAACTCAATGGCAACAAGTGTTTGAGGCTTTGTTAGTGGCACAGTGCTTTACGTGTAAACTGCTAACCCAGAGGTCGGTGGTTTGAATCTACCTGCTGTTCTTTGGGACACGGATGAGCAGTTTCCTCCCATAGAGATCCACAGGCTCAGAGGCCTGATGGAAGGTCACTGTGAGTTAGAACTGGCTTGACAGCAAAGGATTTTTTTGGAGCGGAGGTAGTCTGTAGGAAGTTTCATTGCTAATCCAAAGGCCATGTCTCTGTAGTGGTTAGAATCCACCAGGGACCCACAGGACAAAGATGGGCAATCTCCTTCCGTGTGATTTACAGCCTCAGAAACCCAATGGAAGGTCAACTCTGAATCAGCTCCATTTTGATGGCAAAGAGTCTGAGCTGCTTTTTGTGTGACTTTCCCCTTAGTTTTAGATATTTTAGATAGTAGGTTGCCACACTTCTCTTCTTAATCTCTCTTGGTCTGGAAGCTCTGATGAACTTTGCTGGTATTTAAAATATTGATGGGATAGTTTCCAGCATCACAGCCACACACAGACCGCCACATGTGACAAGTTGACAGATGGATGGTGGAGTTGTAGACCTCTCTCTCTCTCTACATCTGTATCTAATCCATCATTAGCATATGTTGTTGTTGGGCATCATTGAGCCAGAATTGACTGATAGCTGACCCCGCAGTGGGTTTTCAGAGGCAGTAAATAGCAAAGGAGGAAATTGCCCATTTTTCTCCCTTGGAGCAATTGGTAGGTTTGAACTTCATGCCTTTGGGGTTGCAGCACAACTTCCTACTACTAGGCTGCAAGAGCTCCCTTGGCATATGTTGTTGTTGTTGTGTGCTATTGAATTGAAACTGATTCATAGCTGAGCCTCTAGTGGGTTTTCATAGTCATTAAATTGTATGGGAGGAAATTGCCCGTCCTTCTCCCATGGAGCAACTGGTGGATTTGAACTACATGCCTTTGAGATTGCAGCACAGCTTCTTACTTCTAGGCCAGCAGAGCTCCCTTGGTATATAGTAAGCTCAATTTAAATGTTCACTATTACATGTTTATTATCACTCAAAGTTATTTCTTGAGTAGCTATTATGTGTCTGGCCCTGGGCTAGGAGTGTTTCTTTCCTAGAAAACACATTTCTCTATCTCACAACCCTACAAGGTAGGCATTACTGAGTCTTTTTAATAAGAAGAAAGTGCGGTTTGAAGAGTGTATGTCGTAACTTGCCCCAGAGGGGAAAGGAGGGGAAGGGCGGGCACTCACCCCTGCCCTGGCATTTAATATCCAGCTCATGTTGCCTCCCTGTGGTCTCATCTGGCTCTTGCTCAAACCCATGCTCCTGCTGGTGTCTGGTCTTGAGCTATGTAACCTGTCAACACGCAAGAATTCCTTGCAGCCACCTGGGAGCCTTATGATTTAGGAGCAGAGGCAAGAGGCTCCTGAGATGGGAGAGTGACCACTTTGCGGCTCATTTTGGCACTGCCTCTCAGCCAGACCAAATGGGAAACTTCCTGCTTTGAAACAGACTGCTAATACACATATGAGCGAGGACACACATGTGTCTAACACATCCCAGGCATACACAAGCGATTATGCGGCCCCGTAGTGCAATTTCCTCTTGGTTTTTGTTGCTTTGGCCTGACACTATGCAGATACTGAGCTCTGCTTGCTGGGAGTTAAGTGTGGGAATGATAAAATAGAAATATGAGGCATGTGGGTATTGCTGGAGGGGAAACTTGACACCAAGGTCTAGTTGTCTGATTGCAAATCCAGCAGGTTTCTTCCCTGCCCCTTTGCCCGGCCACCCTCTTGGTGGTGGAAGGCGTCTGCTGAATTCCCCTAGTTAGTTCCCAGTCCTGCTATTGGTAGCTCTGGCTCTGCTGCCATGACTTCTCCTCACCAGATGTTTCTCGCCACCAGAGTTCCACGACCCACACATCTTTCAGGTGCTGCACAGCCCCATTTCGAGCTTGAAATTCTTCACTGCAGACTTCCTGCCCACCATCTGGAAGCGTATTGGGTTTCTCTCTCACACTTTCTGTGGACAAAATGACTCTGTCTCAATCGTGCAATTTCTCAGGTGACCACCCAAGAAAACAACAGTACCAGTACAGACAATCAAGAAATTATTCTACATATAATCCCAGAAGAAAGTTTGCCCACACCTGAAGCGGGAGGTCCTGTTTCAGACAATCCAGAAGATGCCAGAACAGCTG